TACAGTAGAGCGTCGTTTATCCGAAGGTCGGTTATCCGAAGGAATTCCAGTCGACTAATTTGAATTTTCGCCAGTACTGTGGCGCTGTATCTTTGGCTATGTCTTGGGCTACTCAAATATTTTACGTTTTTGATACTAAATTAACTTCTGAAGTATAATTTTTTATTGTTTTTATATTTTTCAATATATTTATTTTGTTTGTACAAAATAAAAAAATAATTTTTAACGATACAATAGTCTTCGTTAGGCTTAACATCGACGAAAATTCAACATGAAGCGACACGCAACGAAAAAAAATTTCAACACGAGATAAATTAATATATTTTTTCGTACATAATTGGTTATCCGAAAAATAAGTTATCCGAATAATCCCAGTCCTCAATTAATTCGGATAAACGACGCTCTACTGTATCTCGACAGAATAAAAAAATGGACTTACACCACTTTCAAAATAAACGGTCCATACATATATGTTAGGCTCAAAGACAGAAATCAGTCATTGAGCCAAAAAAAGACACCAACGTGTTGTGGCCGTTTTGGAACCACAACACGAAGCGAAATTCGCGTCGCGGCTTTTATGATATTTGACCATTTGGGTTGTATTGATTAACCGCTTTGTCTTCGATCAACTTTTAATATTAATGTAATTAAACATAAAAAATAGTTAAAACAGAAAAAAACGAAAGAAATGCGTTAATTTTGAAGAGAAAGCTTCAAATTTTATTTTCCATTGTCTCGCCTTTCCGGGAAATCTGACACCAATGAGTAATTGTGTTTACAGCTGGATGACCTAGAGAACAGCTGGTATCGTCTTTCGCGGAACATTCTCATAAAATTTACAGGAGGATAAGGGTTAGTTGCGCGTATATTTTTAAATATTTTTAAAAAATTACGTTTTTTCTTGCGATTTCTGACTCCCCGACTCAATTAAACGTGTATATAATAAATAAAAAAATTAATTTAAAAAATTAAAAAACTATTGGAGGTCGTTTTTGACATCAGAAAGTAGCTTTAAATAACTTTACCGAAGTAAAATCCGTGCAATAGAACTTTAGAACGATGAATGAAATTTGGTATAAAAATCCCATAAAAACAATTAATCGTTAATCGTGCGTCATTAAAGGTAGATTAAAATCGCGATAAATTTTTTTGCGCGGGGAAAAATTTTTGCAAAAACTTTGGAGACTTATAAAACATCCAAAATTTAAAAAAAATTCCCGGAGGGTCCAAACAACCGAATTTTATGTAACGCTATGTAAACGTTACGAGTTAACTCGTCAATGGGAATAAAGTTAAGAAAAGCCATAACGCATTCTGAACGTTAGCTGATGCAAACACGATACAAAAACATACAACGCGCAGTGATTTGTACCATTAAAATACGGATTCTAGGCTTGAAACATTCTTATTTACAATTTTTAATATCGAACAACATTAGTTCTACAAGTTTTTTTTAAAAATTTAATTGTCTTACTTAAAATAATTTAAAGAAATAAAATATATGGAGAAGAAAACACATTTGTTTCTTTTGTTTTGCAAAAAAATGCTAAAAATCTAATTACATATACTTGTAGGTGTTTAATATGCCTATACACGATAAAATAAAAATCAGCTGCTAAAGTTGAAAACCACTGTGCAACAGAATTATTATCGTTAAAGGTCATCACACGTTCTTGATGTTAACTAATAATGAGCGATGATAAGAGAATAAAACTTTCTTTTTCATTATGATTCAATTATTTTCAGTCGTCTTATATACGCAAGTAACAAAATTATTCACCATATACAGAAATTTAACTTGGTTACTTTACAATAACGTTTAATTATTCATGCATTATTATGTTCTTTGAGCGACATTTGCAGTTACACATTATAAACCCTTGCTCACTTCCAGATGTTAACATGGATGCTGAGCGAAGTGTTAATAAAGTTGGGGGTGCGTTCTGAATGTTAATAAAGTTACTGTAGAAATTGTAAATTCATTACGAGCATAAATTCGATGGAGAAGACCTTTTCCCTAACTGATAGAGACTTGATGGATTACATTTATGCTCATAACAACAGCTAAAACATTTCTGAGAGCTGCACGTCCCCTATCAACATTAGGCACCCTAGCTAAAACAATCGAACCAATTTCAACTGCAGAAAATTACCCTAAATTACACTAAAAAATAAGACGAACGATTCTATGACGCAGATCCTTGTACTATTATTGTGAAATATTGATAATAACCAGTACAATTCTTATTGTTTTTGAAAATTTTAATAATTGAAATGTCTTAAAATTTTTAGGCTTTACCACAGGTTTTAATATACATCTGATATAAAGAGTGCCAATAGCTCAATGGCATCGAGGTTGAGAAAAGCGAAATCCTACTTTGATGTAATATACAGTAATACTTCGGTTTTCGTTGACTTCGGTTATTGCCGGTTTGAGATTTTGCCGATTGTTTTCGGATAGATTAGCGACGAAAACCGAAGTATCACTGTATAGTGTACACCCATGTACTTAGATTCAATCTGCATTATTTCTATAGCTTCTGAACAGAGAGTAGATTTACCCTAGATTTATCCTAAATTAAGACTACCCGAAATATTACTCTGAAAAGTTGAAATTACTCTAGAAAAGGGTAATTATCCTAGAAATGGCAGCACTGGTCAAGAATGAACACAATACAAACTCCGCAAGTGTTTGCAATACGCACATTGACAACTTATTGAATACAACTTATCGTTCGTATCGTGGTTGCATCAGCTTACGTTCAGAACGCGTTATGGATTTTCTTAAGCACCACAACGCGTAGTAGTCAAATATCATAAAAGCCACGACGCGAATTTCCTTTGTGGTCGTTTTGAGTTAGCCACAACGCGTTGTCGTCGTTTTTTTTCGCTTAATGAGCGATTTCGGTCTTTGAGCCTAACATATATATAAACACACAATAATAATACATTTATATATTTTGCTGCAAGTTTCAAATTAAAAGACGATAGAGTAATTCATTCTTACTTTGGTTAATACAGTCGACCCCCTTATAACACAAAAGATACGTTCCTGTTTTTATGAATCCAGCTTCAAGGATTCCAGCCAATCACAGCCCGGCAGGTATGCAGTTTACGAACTACGGCTGTTTGTAAGGTTTTTTCCATTAAATTAATCGATTCTAGACTAATTCGATTCGACATTTTCAAAATACATATACTGTTTTTTTTTTTTTTTTTTTTTTTGGGAATAATCCATACAAACTATGCTATAAACAAAAAATTGTAGGATTACTTACTGAATGTGCCCCGTTCGACTACGCCGTTGTTTAAGCTTGTTTTCGTTGTGGAGATTGTCATCGAATGGCGGTCGCGTGCTTCCTGATAATTTTTTTTTCTTGCGAAAAATTCGATGAACTTTAGAAACATCATCAATATAAATATAATTTTTATTGACGTTAAATAATAAATGGTTTTTAGTAGGTTCACTGCTCGTTTAAACTCAACGGTTTGTGCAATCCTGTCGAGATACGAGTCGGCGATGACGTTTTACCGAATTATAGGAGATTTTTAGCATGTTTGTACAAATACTGTCGCAATTTTTTCGCCGAGATATAGGAATTCGAACTATAGAAACCCGTGTTTTAGGGGAGTCGACTGTATCATTATCATATGTTTAACTATTAAATAAATGATAGTAGTTAGTATCACACGACTTTCATGTAACGATTCTTTTCTGGTATGTGATTAAGTTATCACTATCACATAATTAATTGTTCGGAAAATGTTATTCATTAACATAACACCGCATTTACGTTGTCTATGTAAACTGAATGATCTGCAGCGCTGTAAAGACCAATGATTGTTTCCAAAGTAAAGATAATTATTATAAAATTTAAAGCAGACGGTTCGGCATGACTCGTATGAGATCTTAAACTCGTCATATGAACGGCTTATACCATGGCAGGAATGTATTCAAAATAGATACTTCTGTCGTGTGTAAGAGCATTTCCTCGATTACAAAATTAATTAATGTCTTTTACACACGGTTTTAAAAAGATTGATTTGCCGAAAAAATAAAATAATCGCTTTGATCGATTTATGTCGAAGTTTAAGTCCTTAGAATAGTGTGGTTATCGATTGTTATGAAATACAATTTATACTATTAATTAAATTTCTAATATTCTAAGCGCGATTAAGTTAATACAATAAAATATATTTCATTAAAATACTTACATTTCCCTTCTATATATTTAATGCTTTTTATTACTCGGCTAAACACTGACCAAAATGCGTAAAATAAAATTGAAAGAACAGATATCAGTATGAGTACGTAAGGACAAAGGATTGCTTGAATGACACACATTCCAACTACAAGTGAGAATCCCTAAAATTAAAATAATACATATATATATATTCAATTATATATTAATATTTATTACTGAAATAATGCTAAAACAAAGAAAAAAATAATAATTGCTTTTAGAGTTTTTGTAAAAAAATATAATTCCGGATAAGCGCATGATTATTAGCATCATATTTAATGTATTGAACTAATCCTTCAGATAAAATTAATTTTAAATAAAATATACAGAAAGTTATAATATAATATTTAGTAAATACATTTTAGTTCAATATGATTAATTATTGCAATTAGAACGTTGAAACGATGTTTTTATTACAACAATTTGTATATTAATGTTGCTAATTAATTAAAACTGATTTAATGATGTTTTCTTCTAGGTACACTCACTCAGTAGTATGTAAATAGAGGATTTGATCCCGGGATCTCGAAAATCGGGATCCCGGGATCCCGACAACTTTTCAGTCCCAAAATTTTCGGGATTAAGTTTTCCTAATCCCGAAAATCTCGGGATTGACATCATTTTAAAAAAAAGTTGCAAAATAGACTGCATGAAGCGAAACGTTCAGTGCCAGTGCTTTTAACAGAATTGCTTGCCTATCATTTTAATATAAAATACAAGAAATTTTATTCCAAGCAAGCAGCAGAAATTAACCTAGCGGGCTTGCGATGCTTGCTTGGAATAAAACTTCTTGTATTTTCAACTAAAATGATAGGCAAGCAGTTCTCACTGGGTTACTTGGTAATATACTTCATTTTTGTATTTTTGAATTTTCGCG